CTATGCCTACACCATGCCCATTTGTTGCTTTCCCCAGCTCATTTTCTTACATCTTTATTTCATCATCTCAYACTTAGAAATTGATTTTCTTTAAGTGGGAAAATGTTGCAAGTGTACTYTTCACCTTTCTGTCACCTATCTGATGGCACAGGTGCTTTTATTTCCCTCTTTCCTTCCTGAAAAGGCTCTGTGCACACTTAGTACAGAAGTTGGCAAGGAAAGAGGCTTTTATCATTTTGAAAAAAAATTTCTAGGCTGAAGAGTTTTATGTGTAGGTACACTAAAGCCATTAACTGTGTGTACATAAGGGCCCACTTATGGATAGAAGTGGTTTTTTACACTTTCTTATGTACTGATATGACTAGGATGTGGGAATAACATCTTGTCTGCACTCAGATACATGTTGAAAATAAATAGAACTGAAATGAGTTTCTTTTTTACTCCAGTGGCTGAGATAGTACAATAAAAGACATGAAGAAATTGCATGAATGCAGGGTTTTAAAAGTGGCTAAAAAATAAGTGTTATAGAGAAACCAGCATTCTTTTTTTTTTTTTTTTTTTTGGTGATGACTCGATACTGATGCTATCATACCTTTTGCCATTTGCTAATAGTGCCTAACAAATCTCAGCATGAGTTAAGGGATTCAGGCTGACAGAACTCTCTGTGTTCTTAGACTGAATGAACTCACAGGTACATATAGGTGGGGAGGAAACTGATACAAAGGATTAGTTAAAAGGCTTTGTTTCTTCATTGATACACATAAAACAAAAGGTTTTGACATATATCTATGGAAGCCCATGAAGTCACTTTTAAAGGCCACTTTCTGAATATAACTGCAGTTTGAGGGAAAAATACGATGTGAGAACATTCAGCWGTCTTTCCTCTGCACAATTTGTTATTCAGTGTACTCAGGGATCAAAGTGTGGCAAAAACTATACAGAAAAAATGCTCTAAAAATGGAAGGGCAAAGGATCCAAATTAGAGACARTCCATGACAAAAGAAAAAAGAAAAATATAATCATAAAGGGAGCTTCACATCTACTGAGATATGCATCAAGGAGACACCCATCATAGTTTCAAAGCCAATGTTATTTCCTGYAGCTCCCAGCTCCCAACTTAATTATTCAGCAGCATAGTTACAATAKCTGTTCTTGTCCTTTGCAGAACTGCTGATTTTAATATATAATACACAAGGAATAACAATTAGAAATTGTGGGAAATAGGAAAGCAGCACTTGCACATAATGGACAATAACCTCACTGGGCCAGTGACCACATGGAACATAGACTGAATATTTGTAACTATATTTGATGTTTGTCCAACGTCTGTTTCTTCAGTCTCTGATTACATTTCTCTCCTGTGAATGCTACCTTCAYGTTCAATGACATAATAACAGAGTTAAACCCACCGAAATACTAACAACACAGGGAAACAAATACATAGAACCAGAAAGGTTTAAAGATTCTTATTCATTTTCTAATAGAGGTCCATGGTATCACAAGAATTTCTTATACTTTGAAAATATCTAAATTGTACTAAAATTAGTAATATGATGATTGCCTACCATTAAGAATCACCAGTGTGTCAGAAGGGATTCTCTTGTCTGCCTAAGATAATTATAGGCATCACTGTCTGAGAAAACACAGCCTTAGAGGGTACTAAGCACAAACTGAGCTGAACTCTGGCTTCTGAGTTATTCCCCCTGGAAATTGATACTGTTTTTCAATAAATTTATTGCCTTTTCAATAAATCAGGCACCGTTGCCATTTTATTTTAGCCCTAAACAAGCTTTCAAGACACCTTCTGCCAAGAAAGAATGGTTTGAGCATGATATTAACTTTTATAAGGTATGACTGGACTAGAATGAAAGTATTTTTTGATCAAAATAGAGTTAGGCTATGACCTGCATTGGTATATGTTCATCCTGGAAATATTTATGTGGAACCATGAAAATACTTTCAGCACGGTTTTTCTCATTCAATATTCTGGGAAAGAAAGTGTATAGGAAATATTTGTGGCATAATTAGTCACATGGGCTTTTCTGAGTAAAAGCAGATATGTTTAGTCATCTAACAAATATTGCCTCGTAAGGCTCTGCTATAATTTTTCTTAAATACTTTGAATTCTTGATATTTATTTTCTGTGAGATTTCTCACAAACTTTTCATTTAAGGGAGAATTTTATCCTCATAATGAAAAGTTGCAAGGAACTCTGGAAGTTATTTCTATAGGAGAAAATCCTCGTTACATCTCCAATGCCCTTGCTTAGAGAGGCCCTTGTGTGTGTGAGCTCTCCCAGACACACAACAGCTTGTCAGCCTTCCTGCAGCCACTGCTGTCAATTTGAGTCACAGTGATCCCTCCTGCACAGATTATCTTAAAATAGCACAGAATAAATGAAATCTTGCAATTATCMCAAACACCCAGGTGTTTGGTATGGCAGGATGGCCAGAGGAGAGTTGTTAAATTGGAGAAATTGTGTCCTTGATTAGGATTTTCTGAGGGCAATGGCCACTGTCTGCACACACTGTTGCAGCAACACACAGCTCCTGTGACTTGCTAAATCCACAGGAAAAATGCAGGGTAGCTGGTCCTGCTGCTGTCCTGCTTAAACTAAATGAAAACAGCACAGGAAAAAATAGAGATTGGAGGGAGAAGCAGAAGGAAAGGAGAGAGATCAATCTAAGCCCTTGTTGGCAGATAGCCATACTGCCTTCACCTTGCCAAATTGCCACCTCCAGCCATAAAGGCCTTCTCTATTTTCTCTTCCTGCCTTTCCTGCAGTGAGTCACTCCTGCAGACAATATCTTATTTACTCTGTTAGATAATGAAAGACAAKGTGTGTTTTCATATTCTGTTTTTGTGGTTATCATTATATAGTGTACTAAATTACTTACTGGTGCTTTTCCAGATTTGTAAACATTATTTTCACACGTTTTTAAATAGACTTCTATTGCTGTAATTATGAACATGTTGTGTTTGCACACAAGAATGGTATGGGTTACAGGAGAAAAAATAGTTGTTCTTTTGCAGTGACAGAAAAACAATATTCTTCATTTAAACTCAGGTTGGTTTAGTGGGGTGTTAATGACCTGAAGCTGACATTATTAACAGTGTATCTTTACTTAAAATGCTACAGGAAGAGCACATTGCGTTGTAGARACATCGTATTTATGCAGAAGTTGATTATTTAAGCCAGAAAGTAATGAAATATGAAAATGCTGGTGCCATATATTCACTTTAGCCTTTATGAATGACTAGAAATCAAAGTATCAGTCACACTGAATATACAACAAAATATCTCAGTTTTCCGGGGACAAGGGATTCTATAGTAAAGATTTGTAATCTCCCATGCACAGCAAGAAAACATGAGAAGGAGATAGGCTCAGGTGCATAACCTTGACTTGAGAACTGGGAAGAGCAGAGTTTAGAAACTCATGAATCATGCACTCTCCGCTGGGACTTTTCTTTTTAGATTTTGTTGAGTTGCACCTCTGGGAGATCCTTGTACCTTGCATCAGGGTGACTGAAAGCCAGAGAGGCTTCAAACATTCTGGGTTCCCTTGACTTGCTTGGAGCCTTACTGTTCTCAGTCTGGGAACCTTGCACAGAGGAAGAGTCGGAACGAGCTGAAAATATCTAGGCTGTTATTAAACAATGCCAAGGGAGAGAGATAAAAATCTCAGACTTTTTGTCACCCACATGTTTCTTTCCARTTCTAATCGCTGCTTCAATGCTTTTCTGTCTTTTCTCTGACCGAGTTGTCCRGTCTTTGCTCAGTTTTCCTTTTGAGCATTTTATTATCTGATGTAGCAGAGGCTCTCCTCAGTGACACATTCCAACCCCAGCCCCTGGATGTGACAGCCAGGCTGTGTCTATGTGTCTAATCGGGAACTGCTGTGCTCAGACACTTGGCTGTGTTTGAAAATAGTGCTCTTGCTCTGAAAACAATGTGAGGAGGTTAGTGTAGGTGAATGCTACTAGACTGATAACTGGAGAATGATAAATAAGAATACTATTTCTTTTCTGTATTATGAAACAAATGTTAGGGTTTCTTTTTGGAATTC